GTGAGGATGAAGGTGTAGAGATGATGGATGTTCTGTGACTGAATGGAGCCAAAAGCCAGAACAGTTCTGATGAGTCGAGTCGTTCTGGTGATTTTTTGAACCGGGTTCAGTCGGTGGTTCGGTTCCTCTGAGGCAGGCCCTGACTCGTCGCCTCCTCGCTCTAATCCGCCGCTCTGCCTCTAAATATAACCGCTAATCTGCAGCGTAATCTGGCGTATTTGTTCTCCCAGCGGCTCGGCGCAGGCAGCTGATAAGGAGGAGCAGAAACCAGCCGGAGGTCCAGACCCGCTGCTGGTTCTGGTTCGGCTCTGAACCTTTTATTCCTCAAACCGTCTGCGGTCGACACAAACCCACGGTGCTGCCTTTGCTTTTGCAGTTTCAATTCAGTTTATTCACTGAAACCCGTTGAAGCGCTCGAGATGAGCAAAGATCCTCATGAGAGGCACCAGAAAACACCAGAACTGGGTCCAGTAGAGTCCTCAGATGAGTTCGCTGAGCCGGACCGCTTTGATTAACTGGTTTAACACCTTTGAAACTGTTTTAAAGACAAAATTAATGGAATGATCCATGAAAATGGGTCTTTGTAGTCAGAGTCAGAGGGCCGGGTTTATGTAAAGCACACGTTTGTTTGTTTGTTTGTTTGTTTGTTTGTTTGTTTGTTTGTTTGTTTATGTTGTTGTTGCTTCTTTGTTCTGGACGTATGGAGGCCAGTTGGTGTCAGAAAAACCCACATTACAGACTTTAGATCAAAGAGCTGATGAGTGTTTGTAGAGAAACGGTGAAAGTGCAGCTTTATGTGAACAGTTTAGACCAATGACGTGTCTCCATCCTAAAGATCAATAATAATAATAATCAGTAGTTTGGATGTTAAAAACAACAAACACAGTAAGATTGTGTTGTGAAATATTAGATTTACGTTGCCATGAAACCTTTTGTTTAGTCAGTATTACAAGTCTTGTATATTTTGTTTATAATTTTGTTTATTTTATGTTGTTTTATTGTCAGTTTTTTTTCCTGCAGCTTCCAAGAACTACAAACATGGTTTTTATGTCTAAATAATCCAAATGTTCTTCATCCTGTTGGTCTGTTTTCAGGCACACATGGGATTCCATACCCGCCTTCTCACTGCCCTCCGTCTTTTATGTCCTGATTTATCATTTCCTGACCAGCGTAGTTCAGGTCTGACAGCAGGTGACACCTTCTTCTTCTTCTTCTCCTCCTCCTGTGGCTGAGCGTTAATTGAAACGCCCACACTCGGTGTTGCGTAACGCCTCCGAGACAAAGAGGAGAAGCCCAGATGGCTGAGACGGATCCAACGACGAGCTGAATATGAGCTCGCGAGCAGGTCCAGATATCAGAACCAGCAGATGAACGCTGGTTAAAACCAGCCGTGAGGTTCAGGAAGCGGCTGCAGGTCTGAACCCATCTGCAGCGTTTCCCCCTCCTTTGGTTTCACGGCTCCGTCTCCCACTCAGCGGGTCAAACTCTCACCGAGTGGGAAGACCAGAGGCTCCGGGCTGCTGCTGGCAGCTTTTTACAGTCCAACAGTTTGTCAGCTGAAGCCGGCCCAGCGTGGCGCTTTGTCTCCACCTGGTGGCAGCAGGTCGGCGCTGCAGGCGCCTCAGAACCTGAATGTAGTGTAACCTCCTCCTCGTCTCCCCTCAGGCCTCCCCGGCTCCAGGAACACCCCGAGCCCCATCGACCCGGACTCCATCCAGGTGCCAGTGGGCTACGAGCCGGACCCGGCCGACCTGGCGCTGTCCAGCGTCCCGGGTCAGGAGATGTTCGACCCCCGTAAGCGCAAGTTCTCCGCCGAGGAGCTGAAGCCGCAACCGATGATCAAGAAAGCTCGGAAGGTTTTCATCCCCGAAGACCTGAAGGTAATTTGGAGACGGTTTCTGTCGGTTTGAACGGGTTTATGGGTCGCAGGTTCTGGTCGACGCTTCAAACAAAGGCTTGTTGTTGGTGCTGAAAGTACGGAAGCCTGTTAGTGACAGAAAACAGATTAGGAACGGCCAGTTATGACAAGAGAAGCTAAACCTGTGCTGATGGATGTTTAATATTTCACAACAATAGTTTGCATTGATACGGTTCCTCTGAACGTACACCAGAACCCTCAGGGCGGCGGGTCGATCGCCTCAGAATCTGCTGGAACTTTCTAGGAATGATCGGCGGCGTCCCAAACTTTTAGCTTCAACTCAAACATTTCCATCATTTTTGACCCTGATGGGAGTTTCCAATCAATCTCTCGCGAGTTTGAAATGGAACGAGACGCCACTTTAGGACGTCCACTAAAGTACCAGAGGCTCCACATGTTCAGGAGACGTTCTGGAGGTTCTCTTGAACGGAGGGAACGAAGCAAAGTCTGGAAATCAAGACGCAGCTTTCTGCCTCAAACCTCCCAAACTCAGGATTCGTTCAGAAATCCCCAAAACGTGTCTGATCATCAGTTTGATGGATGTTGTTGTTGTGAGAAGAACGTCTGGATCAGGCTTCAGGTGGTGTAGACACGGGAGGTCTGGAGGAAAAATCAGACCTTTAAGGAAAAGTTAGTCGTAGAAACGGATTCTTTAGTCAAAAACATCTGATTATGAATCACTCAGGTCAGTCAGGAGACCTGCTTTGGTGAATGTTCGCCTCCTCTGATGTTTTTATTTCATCAGAAGGGTTTCAACCAACAGACAACGTTTAGTTTGAAGTCCGCCTTGGTTTGCTGTCGTCTGATTGGTCAGAAGACAAACATGAGCCTTAATTAAACCACCGACCGCAGTCTGAGCTCTGCAGAGAGCTTCGTCTGTGTCCAATAATAAACCTGAACTATGCAGTAATCCAGCTTCAGATGAAGATGATCTGGGTTTGACATTTTTCAGCTATTTTTTAAACTCTTCATTTTTTATTATTGCAGATAATAATAATAATAATAATAATAATAATAATATCAGATAATATCCAGTAAAATCACAGAGAAGACTGTTTATCATATGATCTCTGTGTAGAACTGCTCATTTGTTCCTTGACACCGTTTTTAATGTCTTTTCATCAGCATAACATCTAATTATTTTCCAGATATTTGCTGTGATTTAAAAGAAAAAAAATATATTAAGGACTGAAAAAAATGTAACTACAGATAATATTTAGTAAAATTTATGAAAAACAAAAAGTATTAATTTTAATGTTGAAAAAACAAAAAAGAAACAAAACAGGTCAAAAGTCCACAAAAAGAAATCTGTTGTTTTTACAAACAGTCGTTTTTTCTTTTACATCAGCGACTACAATAAAATGAGTTTTTATTAAATTACAGAAAATAACGACTAAAAACCGGATCGCAACAGAAAATAATCACCGTCCATATTCTAACTATCGTTCTGTTTCCTACAATGTGTGGCTGTAAAAGGACACAACTTCATAATTACAGTAGAAATCTAATTATTTATTATTATTACAGATCATATCCAGTGAAGTCACAGAGAAACTTTTCTTCTCTGTGTGACGTCGACCATCATCGTGTATTTTCTGGAGCTCTTGATCCTGTTTTTCTTTCTGACGTTTTTATTTACACTCAATCTAAACGGACTCGTTTTCCACCCAGAAACACAACCAGACGTTCTGGTTCTGCAGGTCTGAGACTTAATCTGGTGAAAGTGCTGCAGCAGCGTCTGTTCTCTGAACGTGATCGACTGCAGACGGATCCATTAGGGCTGATTACAGATTAACCGGGGCGGAGCCACGGCCGTCTGAGCTCTGATTGGCTGGATTCAGCTCTGGGGGGTTAGGAGGATTAAATGGAGCTGGGTCACACT